CAGTCGTACTGGTTTTTGAGGTAAAAGTTTAATTTAAAATCTGTTTCCACAGGTTGTTTTACCCAGTAAAGAGCTGGTTCTGGCAGGAAAAGACGCTGCGGCTGAGTACGACGAACTGGCCGAACCTCAGGACTTCCAGGATGATCCGGAGTGAGTAAACGCCGAGAGAAACGCTCCGTAACGCTCCGTAACGCTCCGTAACGCTCCGTAACGCTCCGTAACGCTCCGTAACGCCGTGTAACGCCGCGTGTGAGCTCATCTCTCTGCTCCTCCCGCAGTGTCGTCGCCTTCAGGAAGTCCAACAAGATCGGCTTCTTCATCAAAGTGATCCCTCAGAAGGAGGAGGACGCCGACGTCACCGTTTCCTTCAAGGTCCGACACGACTTCCGCAACCTCGCGGCCCCCGTCCGGCCGAGCGAGGAGGGAGGCGACGTCGCTCCCGAAGCCGTTTGGCTCACGCATCACGTGGAGCTGAGGCTGGGGCCGCTCGCTCCCTGAGCTCAGGTTCCAGCTCCTGAAATTTAGTTTCTTCAAACTTTGTGCTGAACTTAGACCTGATTTTGATTCCACTCTCTGGAGCTTCAGACATCTCCCAGTTTTCTCTTGTGCGTAGGTTAAAATACAATAAAGGCATGAGAGCTTTAATTTACTGCCACGTTCAGGGACGCACCCGACGAGTTCCTGCTTCCTGTTAGTTTCAGTGCTGCTGAAAGATGTAACAAATGTGTAAGAACAATAAGTCACTAAGTTTCTGTTTGAACACTGAACCGTCTGTCCAGAAGAAGAGCTGCAAAAACAAACCCCACCACTTTCTGTCTTAACTGTTTTTGTCTTGTTTGCTGGATTTTTTTAAATTAAAGCTTCTATTTAAATGTAAAGCAGCAGCGTTTGTAGGAGCTAAATCAGTGAAGTCTCTGCTAAGCGCCAGACACCGCTTCTGCTGTCCGCATCATTTTCTGCAGACGTGTTATTTTCTCCGCGTGCTTCAGTAATAGGAAATCACGCTCATGTTAGAACGAGTTCCTGCTTCTGTATCAATTTTTTTATTTATAAGTTGGGTTTAAGCAGAAGATGGTACCTGCTCATCGTTACAGAGCAGGATCCGAGTTAACCACCAAGGTTCAAGGTAAAATGAGCAAAGATGATTTATTATTTTTAATCAGATGGCCAAGATTAGATTCTGTGGAAAATGTGGACACAGATCGTTTATTCTCGCACTTGGATTAGTCGAGTGTCAGGAATCTGTCACCACCTTCAATAAACGAAGAGCTCCATGAGCATGTAAAACATCACACAGTTCTATAATTATTATTGTGAGTGTCAGATGTCGACGCTCTGGAGATCACATTAAGGAGAAAAACTACGTGTGTGCATTTGAACACTATTTAGTTAGTGCATTCTTGTCTGGTTGCTTTACTTGCTTTGTAGACGTCACTGACATCCCTGTTGGTGTGAACTGTTAATCTGTTGCTTTTTCTTTGGTGTGTGCACTTTGTACAACACAGATGTACTTCAACAATAATCTTCAGTACCGGAAAATAAAGCACTGCAGTGCTGTAAGGGAGGTTTGGGCGTTTTTGTTGTAGTTGTTGTGTTTAACTAATAGTACACTTAAAAAAAGGTGGAGTTTACAGTAAACTACCAGTTGCCACTGTCATATTTTTGGTTGTAACTAGTTACTGGAGCTCTGTTTAGGATTTATTTTTAATTTACCTCAATATAATTGGTGTTTGTGTGCTAAAATTTTCAATTTCTTAACATTTTGAACATAAAGTTGAATATACATTGGGATTTAGCAGATTCAGGGGACATTTTTATTCACATCAAATCTTTTAAGTGGCCTTTATTTGTACTCGAATAACTAAAAATAACAACAAAAAAAAGACCCCTTGAAGAGCACGTCGCCTTTTGTGCCATTTGCAAAAAAATTATGCAATCTATCTGCAAGCCAGCGGTAACTTTCATGAAGATGTGCATGTTCTCGATAGAGAGGAATTTTGGTTAGAGAGAAGAGAACCTGTCCATCATTAAACAGGAGTGTCACTCAGCCCTCTGAATAGCAAGCGGCCTTCATGGCACTAACGATCAGTCGTTAGGCTGATGGTCCTCATTTATCATATGAACTAGTTCTGGATGTCTCCATCAAACTGGTTGATCGACGATGAGAAGGCATAAGGCAGTTTGTTGCAGCTCCTCAGACTGAAGAAGTCCTTTGGATAAAAGATGAAATGTTTCAACAATCTGTCCAGAGGACCTGACTCAACCTCGTGAGGTGTCTGAAAGTCAATTATTAGTGCTTAAAGTACAAGTTGGGCATGACTCACAGCTACTACCACACAGTGCTGTTTTCTTGACATTAAATAAAACTAGAAACAATGTAGAGATTCTGAACACTTGTTAACTTAATTTTTTTTAAATCCCCACACTGTCTTACACGTATTCTGCCTTAGCTCCTGTTTTCTTCTGATGCAACCTCGTGCTTTGTTTTAGGTCTCTGCATATATATATATATATATATATATATCATTCATTACATCACACCCTTTTCAGATACTTTATACAAACACCTCTGTCAAAATACACTCATAACTCAGACTTACAGAGATTTCCTGTATGACTGAGTGGATCTACACATGTGACTACAAAACTTTTTTTTTTATAACAGCACTGAACAACTCAGTTTGAGACTTAACTCTCCTGTTTGTCAATTTAACTCTGTCCTTAAGTTTCAGAACTTAAAAAAAATATATATATATATGTATGTATATATATATATATATGTATGTATGTATATATGTGTATACATATATATATAATATATATATATGTGTGTGTGTAAATATCTATATATATATATATATATGTAAATATATATATATATGTAAATATATATATGTAAATATATATACATATATATATATGTATATGTAAATATATATACATATACATATATATATATATATATATATATATGTAAATATATATACATATATAT